TCCTATTTTTAGTGATGGTTTTTAAACACTTTAACCTCCCTTATAACCCACCACTCACCAGAGGTAGAGGGAAAAAAAAAGATACGGGTGTGGGTTGGGGGTGTGCATCTGTTTAGAAAGGCCTTTTGGAGCAATTCCCATCTGTGTTGTCTGGAAATCAGCAGTTCAGTTCACAGGTCAGCAGTGGCAGCTAGATCCATTAGTTAACACTTCATGGATACAGTCCTGTTTGGTAGAGTTGGGATAGCAAACATGAATGAGCAACGGTGGCACTACCTAGCAGAGACCTTGGCCTCAGCCTTAACATGAATCAGCAAGAGGGACCAGGGTGGAACACCAGAAGTTCTTGGATGTGCCTCTCTCAGAGAAGTGAAGATCAACGAAGATGTGAGACCAAGCCAAGCTCAGTCATCATCACTGAATCCTATTAATACCCTCCAAACATCATGTGTCCTCCACAGGTCTTGCCTCAGTACGTGTGTCTGTCTCAGCGGACATCACTCTGCCAACCAGCCCAAAAGAAGCAGCACACCACCAGAAGATTCTCTGTGCATTTCTCTCTATGGAGTCCCAAGAAAGGGAGCTCAACAACACAATGTAAGGCAAACCAATGCATGCTTGTTGTTAGCAAAGAATCCTTCATCACATGTCCTTTTATGTGCTTGCTTTAGCAGAACATCCTTTCTCCTACGTCTGCTTCAGGAAAACACTCGTTCATGTGTTTGCCCCAGCAAAACATCACACAACTGACTACTTTTCCATTTCAAAGTAGTGTCAAGATCATGCTTTGAATTTTCAAAGCAATAGGGACCTGAAAAACTTGTCTATAAATGACAGAAAAAAAAAGGCCTTCTGCGGGCCAGGTTGAGGATAAAGTAGGCATCGTTCAACCATCATGTGCCTGATTGTTGAGGCAGAAGAGCCTGATCACTCCAACCTAGCGAGAAAGGAAATGCTCTAGGAACCTGCTTTTTCAAGACTCCAAGAATAAGGAGATTAGTGTGGTGGCAGTGGTGACTAAACCTGACTGCTCATTTAGGGGACTTGATGACTAAGGGGTGTTTTCTAGAGCCTAACAGAGCTCTGTTTGGATTTTGACTATTTTACTTAAACTTTCTGGGCCTCGATGTCCTATCCTACAAGATAAAGACAGTAAAATTACATTTTATTTATTTATTTATTTATTTATTTATTTATTTATTTATTTATTTAATTTGTATATGTATGGATCTTTTTTGCCACATGTATGACCGTGTACTACATGTGTACAATGCCATGCATGTCAGAAGAGGATGTCAAACCCCCTAGAAGTGGATTACAGATTATTATAATCTACAAGCTAGGTGCTAGAAACCACCCTGGGGTCTCAGGAAGAGCAGCCAGTGATCTTAACAGCTTATCTATCTTTTTTACCTCAGCAAGACTGGATTTTAGTTTGTAAGTATAGCTATTTCCTAAGGTAGATTTTAAGTGGTACATGATAAATCCTAAATTGACTCTGTGTACTGTCCTAATTATTGTTATATCATTGTTGTACACCAGGGACCCTTAAGCAACTTATGATGAGCCCTGTAATGAATTGTTTCATGGCTGGTCTCCCTTTTGACTCCCACCTGAGTACTCCACTGGCAACCACAATATCTTCTATATATGTCGAATGGAACCCAGTTTGATTAGGCTAGGATGATACCCAGAGGGGAATCATTGCAGTTTGTGCTAGGATTTTAGACTATTAGTGTATTCAGCAATGAATTACCATTACCAAGGCATTAGTTGCAAATAGTATTGACACAAGCTTACAGTTTCAGATGGTTAGTTTATTATGATCATGGTGGAAAGCATGGTGGTATACAGGCAAACATTGTGTTGGAGAGGTAGCTGAGAATTCTACATCTGGATTGGCAGCAGGAAGAGACACACTGGGCCTGGCTTGAGCTTCTGGAGACCTCAAAGCCCACCCCCAGTGACACATTTCCTCCAACATTACACCTACTCCAACAAGTCCACAACTCCTAATAGTGTTACTTCCTATGAGCCTATGAGGGCCATATATTCATTCAAGCCATACTGCCTAACTAAAATGTATGGACTGCACTATCCACATTTCAGGATACACAACTCTTTAATGGCTTGTTGGAATGCTGGTAGATGGAGGCAAAAATCTCTTTATATAAGAAGAGCTGTGGCAATTCATTTTCCCCATAATTGTTGAATGCTAGCAGTCTCACTCCTACTTTTTCTTTCATGCTTCTTGTGTCATTCAGTTGAGAAGGATGTCCTCAGTATTTGTCCTCACTTTCCACATGATTTCTGAGGATAGTATCATTGAGGATTTCTGATTCCAATCTTGTTCTCTAGGGGACACTTGCCATAGCTTTGTACCAAGAGCATCTTTAAGGTCACAGAACACAGGCTCAGAAATGTGGGTTTCAAAGCTGCCAGAGGCTGCAATTAAATAGCAAGACCATCCATAAAGCTTTACTAAAGGCCAGCAACTTTCGGGTGACTTTGGAGAACCACAATTTGAGAGTAAAGAAAGGTAAAAGTGATAAAAAAAAAAAAAAAGCAAGCTAGAACAACAAACTGTATAAAATGCTCAGATGAATAAGTTGTCTCCTGACACTGCATGGAGTTCCTTCTGGTATAAATGCCACTCATAATTCACTGAGCTGGCTGGGCAAGTAGACACGGATGTCTTCAAATGGTGGACAGCCATTTCTGAAGGAACAAGATGTTTACTTTCCTATGTGAAACAGAGCACAGTATCAATATTTGCATTTCAAGTTCCGTTAAGACAGGTGACCGTGGAGTGCTGGGGTTTATCAAAACCCCACAAAACAATAGGAGGAACTGTCGCACTTTCATGTCTAATTATTGCGTTTTGTGAATCCAGTGCTCTGATCTCCCATGGAGTCTCTAAGCAAAAGGCGTGTCATCTTTAAAGGTATGTAACTAAAGAGCTGTAGTTCCACAATTTACATATGTGAATTGCAACTTTAGTATGACAAAGACCAGTTTATCACTATGGGACTGGAATGGGAATGGAGCCATACTATAGGGCTCCATTTCTAATTTAATTTTGTGGTTACACAGTAGCAAAAATTACCAATGTAATTGTTGTCTGATTCTGCAGTTTAAAGGAATAAACTTTGATTCAGAAAGAAGACAGTGGCTTGCTCATGGGTTTTGAAAAACAAATTAAGAAAGCAACCTGATTAGAGCTTAGGTCTCTGTGCCTTGCTGCTTATTTTTATTTTATTCTAGTCTAGCCCCATTTTGTACACTATCAAATTCTAATTGAGGCTTTCTGCTTTGTTCTTCTTAGAGCTATTCTCCAGTGATGATCGTCACAGGTCTTAAGTCCTGTCCAGGTCTTATCACCTGTCATTTCAGTGATCCTAGTGGAATGATATAAGAAAAAAAAGTCTTGTTTCTAAACACATTCTTTAAATATATTTTTTTATTGACCTAGATTAAACAGGGGGTTATTTGCTCTTAAGTAACGAAGACTTATCTAATGTGGTACTTCTCTTACTGAGCCAATTAGACTTCATGTTTGTAATATCTTTGACATTGTAATTCTATCATTTGAAATGATCTTCTTTCTTTTTAATTTTGTTTTTATTTTTATTTACTTATTTTTAAATCAAATCGTAATTTTTACTTATTCACACAGGGGTTATAAACACAGAAAGGCAGGATGTGGGGAAGGGGATGACACCAGAGCGTGAGTGTTCAGGGGGAGTACAGATATCTTTCAGAACATGTATGGGCTGGGTGAAGGTTCAGGGGACAGGTCACTATGACTCGGCCTATGATTCACTTGTCCTTATCTAAGTTGGTATTATCTGCTAAGGCTACTGATTTACAATGTCTATGACTACTCAGGCTGGTAAATTTCCACAAAAGTTGCCTGTTTACAATAGCTTATAGCCATCTTTTTCAATGTTTTTCCACAGAGACCCAAGACTTTGTGTTAGCATACATGTATGACAGGCCTATTGCTGATTTTAGGCCTTCAGTGTGTAATCAGGGCTGCCCCTGACATCTCCTCCCTTCTCTAAGTATAGAAGGGCTGTGGTGATTCTAATCTTGAGAAGGCAGAGATAGAGGCCTGACCTCCAGTAATTGAAGGAGACCTTGTAATGGCTCCGGTCCCCCTGTTGTTGTCCAGTGAGGCATGAGGGCCATACCTGTCCCGATGTCTTTTTCCTGGAGAGGGGATACTTTTGACATCAACCCCTATGCAGTCAGGCTTGTCCCTCAGGGAACCCAGAGAGATATTTTTAACTTTTATTTATACTCTCTTGCAGTGCTTAGCCTCACAGCCTAAGCAAGAATTCAGATTGCCAGTCAGAGGGGATTCTGGGTGGCCCCTCTCTGCTTGGTCTAGGGGCAGAAGTCCCCTCTTTTAGGTTGGGTGGAGATGGGTTTTGGGAGCACCCTGGATAGAGTAACAACCTCATCTTGAGTCTCATGGTCTTCCATAGCTAACTTATGATAATGTATCTGAATAGGTTTTGCTACCAAATTATCTGTTGTTTCACAAAGTTAGTCAGCCTTTTTAAGGCCCAGGGACCAAAAGAAGTAAGCAAAAATAACCCAATTAATGGTCCCAAGATGGGAGGAAGTAGGGTTGACAACCATGGTGAGGTTGAAAACCAATTCTTGTACCAGCTCTCATCTTTCGCTTTCTTTCTGTCTTTTCTCAGGGCCTTCTATGACCTTTTTCATGCTCTAACCATTCCTGTCTTGTCTATGTAAAAGCAACATTCTTCTTTAAGGGCTGTACAGTCAAGAGCTGTACAGTTTTTTCTATTGTAAAAGAGTAAATCAAGTCCAATAAAGTCCTTTGCAATTTTGAGGGGCCTCTTCAGACAGTGAAACGAGGGACTTCTTCAGATTAGTGATGCCAATCTCTTGCTGTTTGATGTCCTTGTCAATGGCCCAAACCAAAACCCACCAAACCCAAACCCCACAAAGAATGGTGTTACAGCATATTAACAAAAGGCCTGTTTTAATAGCAACTCTCCAATAAACTTACTTTTTAACACAATTGATTTATTCTCCAGTGCATGTTATACATTACACCCCTCCACACACACCTGTCTGCAACATAACTAATGAGGAAAACAAAGCTGTCTGTTGGGGAGACTTTTACAAATGAAGGCGTCGAAGCTCAGAGAGTTTAAAGGACTTTAGCTGGTTCAATGCCAGGTTGCTCTAGTTTTCAGTTGGGATTAGCCCTCTATCTGGCCCATTTTGTGTTTAGTTCAGGTCTTTCCCAGTGACAGATAGTTGTTGTGCCTTGAGACAGTTTTATTCTAGAAGTGGTCACCATTTGTGTTTTGTCAGGCATAATTCTTGTGTTTTAATTTCACTTCTCATAGACCATCATCCAGTGCAGCCCTCCACCCTGTCAAATTAAGGTAGTAAGTAGCTGACACACTGAATTGTAAGAGGAACGCATGAGACACATGCGGCATATGTAGCCTGTGGTCTGTCCATTAGTTCCATTCAGTTCATGTACTTCTAGGACAGCTGTACTTTTCATCACAAACACAGAAGTGCCGTCCATGCCTTGGTAAAGGCAAAAGGAAAGAAGTTATTTTTGTGAGTCTTTTGTCATTGCTAATGCAGGTTCATCAGTTCTAACAGATGTTATCATTTCGCTGGTTGTGTTGAAAATGAGGAAGTTATTCATGTGTAGGGGAGGGGATTTCCGAGGAATCTCATTAATCTTTTCCTTATTTTGTTGTGAATTTAAATTTGGTTAAAAAATTAGGGCTGGAGAGGTGGCTTAGTGGTTTGAGCGTGTCCTGTTATTGCAGAAGACTCCAGTTCAATTCTCAGTATCATCATGTCAGGCTGCTTACCTGATGTAACTCTAGCTCTGGGAGAGTCAGATCCCCTCTAGTGGCCTCTGTGGGTACTGCCCTCATAACTTCCTACACCCAACAGTAATTTTAAATAGCCTTAAAACAGTGAGCAACTCATTCTTCCAAAGGGACATACGATTAATGCATCAGGCTATGAAGCAATGTTCAGTGGTACAGGTGATTTATGAGTGTCATTTCAAAAGATGCGAAGACAAATGAACCAGTCTGTGAAAACTGAGTCAGCTGACCATGGACAAAATAGTCTCTCACCCTTTGAAACACACTACAATGAAGAAATCAAAAGGATAAAAGCAGCCTATCATAAGAGCTCACACTGCATGACTCCACTGATACAAACTGTTCACATGCAGCAAATTCATCAAGATAGATTAGTGCCACCTAGCAGGCAAGGTATGGAGGTTGAAAGAAGTGGAAGGTTTGTTTTGTTGTTGGGGGTTACAGAGATGAAACTACTTAAGAGTTGGTTTCTATGTTATAGAATTCTGTAAGTATACCAGACCTCATGGAATTGTTCACTTTATATGCATGAATTAGGAGTTATATCTCAGTATAATAGATATTTTGTGTTGATAAAATATAGTCCATTTGTGTTACTATTAACATAATGCTTCTTATGCTGTCTTGTAGTGGCAAAAGCTGGGAAATACAACCAGAAGGAAATCATGTCTGGTGTGGGAATAATTCTTGGTGTCATTATTGGTAAAGCCTCTTGACTTCTGAAATCTTTTTATACCTTCAAATTAACGATAAGGGTATATGTGTCAATTACAGTCAGCTCTGTCAAAACAAAACCTACCAGAAACAAGGTTTCTTTGTGATTCAAAATAGAAATCCAGATGTGACAAATGCATATACTCTGTAACTGCTTATAACATCTGACACAAATAGGGGTTTACAAAGCTTTCTTAAAAAGACTGACCAGGAGGCTGGAGAGTTGGGCTGGTGGTTTAGACAACTTGCTGCTCCTGCAGAGGACCAGGGTTTGATTCCCAGCACCCTTATGATGGCTCATAATCATGGGTAACTAGTTCCAGGGGCTTGATGCCCTTTTCTGATTTAACAAGCACCAGAGTAGCCAGTGGTACATATACATACATTCAAGGAAAACATTCATACACAAAAAATAAAAAAATCTAAACAAACAAACATGCTTGGCCAGACCTGAGAGTAACAGGCCTATCATCCTACTGATTTAGGGGACGAGAAAGAAGAATCCCAAGTTTAGGGTTAGCCTAAGCAACTTTTCAAGCAAATAAACAAACAAGCAAATAAACAAAAGACTTTTAAATAGTTTGTCTTAAGAATAAAATAACTTTAAATTTTTTTTGGAGTATTAACAGACAGTACAACATGTCTCTGCCATGCCACAACCATGGCCTACAGAGCAGCTAGCCAGCTATAGTCTACTTTTCTGAATTTTCTCAGCTCTTTCTCTTCAGATTTTGACAGCTGATGTAGAGCATCTTCTCCCAAGTCCGTGTTATTTGTTTCCTTGGCTTTTTCAGTAAGATCATATTCTTCATCTGAATCATCACTTTCTTTGGTTCCGTCCATATCTACATCCGGAATTTCTTCAGTGCTTTGACAGAACATCAACACCGTTAGATATTTCTAAATTAGGTTTTTACTTTGTTTTTGTTTTTAAATTAAAGACAACGACCTTGAAATTCCATATAGAAAAAGCAACTCAACTCAAAACACTGTGATAAGTGCCCTTATGGAGCTCAGGCCATTTAAAAAAAAAAAAAAAGAAAAGAAAAGAAAAGAAAAAAAAAGAATTTACAAAACATGGAACTGTATCTTTAATCAGTACACACATCTCTTCCTTAGCTCTTCACAAGTATTGTATGTAATAATGTCATTAGCTACATTTCAAAGCTAAAATGCAAATATGGTGGATGACATTCCCAAACAATTCAGAAGACAAACCGTCTAGAATTCTTACCTTTTAGTCTCTTTAGACAGCAGCAGTGAGTTTACAAACAGAGAGCACAGGAAAGAAGCTGATGGCAGTACGTGGGCAGGGGTGTGAAGAAGCTATAGGCACACAGAAAAGTCACTTTGTTAAAAAGGTTACCCTTTTGACACGCTGTTGCTTCACCTCCTAATACCTTTCATTCTAAATGCCCAGCCAAATGCAAAAGGCTTCCCTGAAGAAAAACCAAACTGAAGCATATAGTACTTCCAGCTTCCTGCACTGTGCAGCCCCATCTCCTCACCCAGGCACAGGAGAGAATCACCCCGCCAAGGTTCCTTACTTGTCTGGACACAAGAGAAACCACTTTATCCCATGCTCTGCAGTACTGATCACTCACCTCAGTAATTGCAGGTATATTTTCTGTTAAGGGGAGTTGTACCAATTCATTCTCTGAAGTTTCAGTTAACTTTGCATCCTGCTGTTGTCTGTGTTTTCCCAATATAAAAGAAAATGGGGTCGTTGGCAAACTTTCTTCTGCCAGCAGCTGTATGGATATAAGAGAAGAGGAAATTATTTCAATAAAAAGATGGAAATTCTTTGACTGAACAGGTAAGTGCCAGTGAACTTATAAAACTATTCTGGTGAAAAGTTCGAAATCACATAATGTTACTCTCATGTCATAGACAAAGCAACTGATGCCCAGTGTCCCACTTTCTACATGGGAAAGCTAGTCACAGACACTAATGAGAGAACCATGGCTTCCTTGCTGGGCATTATAAAGATCACAGAAATGTTCTCAGAGGCCATATGCTCATACCAGCAAAGAACTGGGGCAAGGTTACACAGCGACAACCTGGAAGGATGCAGCAGGTTAAAGGATGAAATCTTAGTAGAATCAAGAAAACAGTATTCTAAGATAAAAGCAAGATGTGTATGTGTTGTTGGTAAATATGATACCACTGTCCACAAAACAGGCAAAAACTGAAATAGGGTACGAGGATGGGAACTAAGCAGAATTCTTTTTAAAAACAAAAAACCAAACAAATAAGAAAAGAGAAACAAAAGCCAGGGTGTGTGGGAGATGGAGTATACACCTCCTGAGTCAGTTACCCATTCGACGCTCTCCTGGGATCTCCACACTGCATGGAGAAGAAGGATGGAGATGCACAGGAAGGCCTGCCTTGACTTCTCAATTTAAACCCCAAGACACACCTTACTCATCTTCTTTTCTGCTTCCAACCCTGCTATATATCTTTGCATTTTCTAATGTACTACATGACTTATTGCTTGTTGTTTAACATCTGTATCTTCCTATAAACACATATTTTACAGACAAGGCTGTTTTGCTAACATATCCCAGTTATCTGTAATAATCCCTGGCATATAGCTGATTGTGAGTAAATTCAATGAGTTTTCAGAAGAAATTAAGCAAGCTACGGTAAATGGTCAAAAATGAAGAACATCAGAAGCTATGTAATTAGGCCACCACTTTTAAAGTGCGGAGAAAATGGTTTTCAGTTTATATTTATACTCAACTAAACAAGTAGGAAAGAATAAAGAATACTTCCCAAACTGCAAGGCCCTTTAAGTTTAGCAAGGTGATAACCCATGTTTGAATAGAACAGGCTTCACCGAGGCAAGTGTACGAACGAAGAAAGGAACTCTATGGGATCTTGTGTTGTCGTAGCGGTGAAATGAATCCCCGAGTACTGAGCACAGGTTCCAGGAGGAGCACTGTGCAGCAGATCCATAGTGCTGGTAAGCCAGACTGAAGTAAGCCATGAGTCTGTGAAAAGTTCTCATGACTTGAAAGAATACCTATGCATCTGAAAAATCCTGAAAAAAATTAATTTGGATAAATCCTGGAGTAGAATTACTAACAAACCAAAACAAAATGAAATACGCAGCATTTCATTTGCCTGGCTATGAATGCTTTTCTATGTTAAGGCAATACAAACTTTCAGCTTCAAGAACTTCAATAAATTCATCAGATAACTAAATCCAGAATGTAAACACATACTTAGAGATATGAAGTCCAAGCTAGTAAATAAAACTCTACCCACAATAACAAGATGTTTCTGTAATGATGACCTAGAGTTGTCCCTCAGTGTTCACAGAGGGCTGGTTCCAGAAAACAGTTCAGACAACAAATTCCAAGATCCTTACTGGTGTAGGTTGGGATCTCCCTTAAACATAAGCTAAGCACACTGACCCATCTACGACTGAGTGTTTAGCCAATTCCAACCACAAGCTAGGCATGGCAGGCCAACTGACTAACTCTTTAAAACAAGACTATACTTTTAGTACTCTAAACGGTAGAGGAGCAGAGCAGAGTTTACACGTATGCACTTAACAATTCCTTCTTAGAGCCCAGTAAGACATATTTGTCACAGCTGAATTCTAAAAACTAATTTTCTTTAGAAAGACAACACAGCACACACCATAAATAGATAAAGTATGCCTACCTGTCTGCTTGTTGGTGTGAGTTTCTCTTCAGGAGACATTGTACTGAATGTTAATAAGCACTAAAAAACAGATCAATTAATGGAACAAAATATACACGAGGAGGTACAAATAAAGTAAGATTATACAATGTCTTAAAATGTAAATTTTTCATTTTGATATACACATCTGCCCAAAGAAAAGATTTAAATTTCTTTGAAAGGTCCTATGGGAGTTATAAGACCATGGTTTGAGAAAAATGTAAAACCCTATAACAAAATAAAAGCCACCAGTTTCCTCAACAACAAACCAAATAGTAAAATTAGGGGAAAATGCTAATAAATTAATTAAAGTAATTTTGGGGCTCAATGCTTCCCTCTGTCAACACAAAGCTTCAAGGTGTGGGGTACAGTGCTAATGCAATCACACTCTTAACACTGCTGCACTGACACTTATTTGACCATTTCTTTTGGGAAATAAAACCTTTACAAAACAAACTTTGTAAAATTATTTCTATAAACAGGCTACCCGTTTAGAGGGAGACAGTTACCTGTGATTTAGTTAGGAAGTAAAACTGAGATCTATTTAGCCACTGGTGAGCTTCTGAGGTGAATGATTCCGGGACATCTCGTGGAACAAACACTCCCCATTGGACTTCCTCTCTGGAGACATTCTTTTGAATAAACAATGGCCTTGGCTCACTAGGTTTAAATACAAACACTAAAGGGGAAAAACAGATAAATGTCATTTTACTTGCAGAGGACATTCTAGCCTCAGGCTGGCATATCACACTAATACTGCTGCCAGCCCACAGAGTAAATGGTCCTGCTTAGACTGTTTCGATGCTGTTGCTGCTGCTGCTGCTGTTTGACAGGTATCTACTGAATGCCTAGTATGCACCAAACAGGTTAGGAATGAGGACTACAATCTGAAAATGAAAATGGTTTCTGTTCCAGAGACCAGGGAATCTGTACAAGAGACAACAGAACACTATACAAATATTTTGTCTGAAGTACCAAGAAAGAGATGCAGACATTGTCTCAGAAGCAGAGAAGTCCAGTTAACAGCCAGGGTAGACTCTGAAGCCCGAGAGGGAACTGGCTTGTGGACAAGTTCTAGAGCACGGATAACAGTCAATGTGAATGTGTATTTATAGCTGGTGGGTACGAGAGGATGGGCAGGCCCCAGATAAACAGCTGCATATGAATTTCTGACTCAAAGTCACTATGCTTCAGCTTATACTAAAATCAGTAAAAAGAAAGCCTAGGAAAAAGGCCGCATGCTATCAGAGAATGGTTAGTACTTACAGTCTGAGCCGGCTGAAGACTGAGCCACTGCAGCAACATGGTCTGAGTAAGGGTCAGGTTCCATAACTCTAACATTTAATTTTGCACTCCACTGTACTGTGGGAAAAGTGATACACTTCTGAGAAGAGGTCCAGCAAAAGCTCAAATCTTTACAACAGGTGCTCTTTATCTTCCCTGGGACAGCTCAGTGTTAGGCTTATATGGAAGGATTTATAGTTTCAGTAACAATAGATACACACTGACATTGTCTGTGTGTGTGTGTGTGGGGGGGCGTTAGTGAAGCGTGCAACAGGAAGCAGGACTGCAAAGTGAACTTCAGTATTCCTTCCACACACTGTTAGCTCACTCCGACTCGTGGCTGACGCTGTTCTGTTCTTACTAAACGTGGCTGACAGGGACTACCATCCACACTCACTAGGAAATGACACCATACCTTCTCTGTGCCCACATCAGTAAAATGCCACCAAAGCCTCATCTTTCAGGACTACCTTGACAGACTACCTTCAAATATTACACAGTCTGAGATCCTGCATACAATCACCAGAGCTCTTCCTCAAGTTGTGAAGATACGTGTGGATCCATGTGCCCTGAGCACAATGGGCACATCTGCAACAATATTTACAGTCTGCAACTCACTACCAGCCACTGATTTAAAACTTTTGGTCAAGCAAAAAATTATATATTGTAGGGATAAAGATATGAAACCAGGAGGGTCCTTAATTCCTAAAAGGTCAAAGTCTAACTGCTGCACCCCACTTGGGCTTACTTGAACAACTGAGCAGATTCCAACAGCAGAGAATATCCTTCTCAGTAGTGCCGAGAAGATACTTTGAGCACGTCAGTCTTCCAAAGCAAAGGTGCCTAGGTCAAAATCACATCAAAGATGAACTCCAGGCTTAGACCACTACATTTTAGTTCTACCCAATACAGACTCGTAAGCAGGCATAGCTTTATTCTTTTTGTGTTTCTAGTTCTAACAGCAATGGAAAAGGTGCTAAGCCAATAGAAAGGGGTTATGTAGGTTCTTGTATTTCTTTAGGAAAACAGGTATAATGCTATGATCAATTCTCTTAAATACTCTATCATGTAACAATCCATGCAACACAGAAATATACATACATACATACATACATACATATCATGCCACTTAACAAAACCTTATTTTATCCTTTTTACCTACAAAAGGAAAATTTGTACTCAGAAATTTTTACAAAGCAAGTTCAAAATCAGACATATTTAAAATGAGATGAAATTAGTCACCTATTATTTTGTCCTCAGGTCTGGGAACCAGAAGTATTGGTTTGAGTATTACATTGTATTTTTAAGGGAATGCATGTCAGGATCAACCAAGGCTAGCATAGCCTTAGTTTCTACACAATACCCCCATGAAAGTTTTTCCCTATATTGAACAAAGCTGGGTACAAAACGTTCAATGTTAATCCTAGTTTAAGAAATGCTTATAAGCTGCTCATTAACTCACAAGTTACAGTTTCTCAACATTTTGATTAATTTCTTACCCTTATTTCCCAGCAAACTATAGATTATCTCTTTGAGGAAAACATACATTATTTGAAGCTTAAAGGCTTTTTAAATTAAAAATACATACATACATTGGTAGCAATACAAACTAATTTACCTACCTTATTTTCCCAGCTCGTTGGCAAAATGTACATTTCAGTTCCCATGTTTCTGAGTCCCATATTGTAACTATTTCCTCAAAACTAACTGCTAGTAAGGAGCCATCTTCAGAGAAACAGCAATTGGTTGCTTGATACTTATGGTAACTACCCACAAAGTCACAAGTCCAGCCAATGGCTTTTTCTGTAGAAAAAGAAACCATAACAAAATTGGTATAAATATGAAATAATGTTGAGAGACAGGTTATAAGCAGAAAAAGTCAAAGAAAAGAAACATAACAAAAACCCAGATTCCCCAAAACTGTTCTAAATTAAAAGTGTAACCTACTGACTGGTATTTTTCTCCTTCCTGGAGACCTTGAGCTCCCTCTAGTGGAGAGGAGGAGATCTAGTGGCAGGAACCCTTTAAACTGCACCAAGTGAACACAAAATGCCCACCCACTTCCCCAAAGCACAGATTCTGGTAGAAATGTATGTAAAAATTTAATATAAAAAATAGTCGTTGAAATTAAGCAACAGTTTACAGACTTTAACAAAATGGAAAACACTTTCTCAAAAAAAGGACATAGATGCTGATATAAATATACCACTTCTTAAAACTAATTTTTAAACACAATCTACTGAGTGAACTTACTGTATATATCAGAGTCATCTGTTAATATCCACACTTTGAAGTGGCCATCTTTACTAGCTGTGACCAGTACGGGTTTTTCATAGTTTTCTGCATTATTGAAGCAGAGAGCTGTGATGTGGTCATCATGTGGCATGGTGATCTTTGTGTTAAGAACAAACCTAGTTGAAAGGAAACCACGAGTTCATTCTCAGAAAAGATACGGTACACTAACACTCTGCACATCATGCAATATCTTCAAAATGGGCAACAGAACTTAGAGGTCTGGCTTCTTCTAAAAACAGACCAAAGAAAAACAAAACGAATGGCTGTGAAAGGCTCCATTTATATTGTGAAAACATGAAATAAAAATGACCTACTCAAGAGGGAGTACCAATAGGAATCACTTAATTCTGGGCCTCTTTTCTCATCTGTGAAATGTGGAGCAAAGGCTTAGTGTAAATGTATATTTTAGTCACCTGATATAATTGTCGTACTGTCTTAGTCGGCTAGCCTACGCCTAGTCATGGAAGTGTCTTACCTAGGCCTAGAATGTTTTCAGCCTCTGAAACTTTCTGCTAAACAAGTTCACCCTTCCTATTTCTTTCTGAACTCTGGCTGACTGGTTCAACTCAGCTGTTCTGGTTCAAATCTCCTCTCCAAGCTGACTGATTCAATCTGGCGTCTTTCTTGGCCTCTGACATTTTGTTCTGCTTGGCCTCAAACTAACTCTAGAGCAATCTGTTCTAATCTTTTGCTTCATTCCCTGGTTGGTCTGCCTTCACCTGTTTCTAACTTGTTCTCTTTCTGCAACCCTGTCTCTATACAATTGTCCTAGTAAAACTGCCTCCTACCTCTTTTCTCTCTGTCTCCACATGGCTTTAAGTAGCTTCCCTTTCCTCTCTCTTCTCTTATGAGGTCAGTATATCCTATCACGGTCAAACATGGGTGCTTTCATTTACAAACTAACTTTACCCTCACTGCTTGGGATTAAAGGAGTGTACGAAGGGCCTGTCTGTATTCCTGCAGAGGGATTTAAAGGTGTGTGCTAAGGCACACTACAACTAGAAACAGGTTTTTTTCAGTAAATAACACAATCTTGGGATTCACAGTGTGATCAAATATCCTGCAATACCTTAGGTTACAATATTCCTTAGAAATGTATCAAGCCAGGGTTGGTGGGGCATGCCACGAATCCCAGCATTTGGGAGGCAGAGACAGACAAATCGAAATTTGAACCAGCCTGGTATAGAGAGCAAGTTCTAGAATAGCCAGGGCTATGCAGAGTCCTTGCCTCAAAATCAAAACAAAACAAAAAACTGGCACAAAGACTCAATGAACAGTTCTTCAAAAAAGCAGTAGGTGCTTATCCGAACATGAGACACATGTCTATACTCTCTCTTGACAGTGTTGGAAGGACCAGGGCACATTTGAATTCTAATTCTGGATTTGCCTTGAAATGTATTATGTTGTTGGGTTACTACAATTCTTTCTCATGTTTCATCTTTTATGTGATGACATGGCATGACCTACATCTCATCAATGCTTTCTCAAAACAGAAAGCTAAAATAAAGCTTTATTTCTAGAATGATACCACAAGCCCCATATCTATATGTGTCAAAATGCAACAACAGAAACACTGACGGTTTTAACGATAAAACAAAAACTCAGCCGAGTGAGGCAGCCGCACCCTTGGGTTTTCTTGCTGTAGCTCCACAGTTTCATCTGCAGCTCCAGTTCGTTCTCACTTTCCTGCCGTTGTTCGACTGTTGCCAACCAAGTACCAGAGCAGCCGAAGGCGGCCTTCGTTAGTTCAATTTGGATTAGACCCTCATCATTGATGTACTCTTGCTGTATGATATCTAGCTGACAAGTTTAAAAAGTCCAAAGTGTTATTAATATAAACATCTTCTATTTACAGTCCTATTATTAAGAAAATCTTTATAGAAAACCTCAGGGCTAAATTATCTATTACTTCAAAGAGTAAAAAATAAAAATAAAAAGAGATAAGCAATGGTCCAAGAAGACTAGCTTTCTATTTATAACTGATCCTTTAATCCCTTAAAATGGGTTTCCTCGTGTTTGGTAACAAAATAAAGTGGCTACTATTGATTGAAGAGCCCTCATATGAAAACTACAGATCCAAAATGTTGCAGATTTTTTTTTAATGTTGACAATGTTCACAAAGATGTAAGAGATATTTTGGGACTAGGACCCAAGGCCAGCCTATGGGTGATTTTATCTAATGGTTTTAGCATTGTGCTATGATACGTCTTCATATGAAGTTAGACATGCATGTGTGGTGTCAGGGAAGTGTTCAGAATTTTTAGATCTGGGAACACTTAAGTCTTTGGATTTTGGCTAGGGGTGGTGGTGCATGCTTTTAATCCTAGCACAAAGGCAGGCAGATCTCTGAGTTCAAGGCCAGCCTGGTCTATAGAGTGAGTTCCAGGACAGTCAGGGCTACACAGACAAATCCTGTCTCCAAAAACCCAAACAAATAAAAAAGACTGTATTTTGAGATTAGAGATGCCCAACCATATTAAGTGTAGTAAGTGCCCTTTCAGTAAATGTAGTGGGGGAGGGAGCTGGTCTTTTTATTAAGTGTAGTAAGTGCCCTTTCAGTAAATGTAGTGGGGGGGAGCTGGTCTTTTTTCAAGTTTATAGGATATGGAAAGAAAGTTAGCTTCCATGACAGTCATCTATAAAGAAGCACAAGAAAAGTGACTGCATTTTTATTGCAAGAATGCTGACGTACTGTTTAATCTACACTAAACTTTAGTGTCTGTATGTTAGACAGTTTTACCACACAGCAGACCCAGATTTGTACTGTCAATCCACACATGCTCAGCCCTTTATCACTGTGTCTCAGAACACATGTGTGGGCAGCACCAACTGCATTAAAGTAATCGCAGACATTATCAGCTGTGTTCAAGGACGAATGCACAGGATCAAGTACTAGGAGTTTCCAAATAACCCACACAACCTCAGTTGTACTATAAAAGCCTTTCATCTGTTTTAAAGCTTAGTTTATGAATTAAAATCTTACATTATATAACTGCTTATCACCCTGGAGAGAATAAAACTGCAGGTGACCAGGCTTTCCATTCAAAACTAAAGCTTTGGTTCTTGGGTCAACCATCAAACCAGTAGATACACTCCTATCTGCAAAAGAAGCAACAGACGGTGGTTAAAGAGCAGCAGTCATTCATCAGCTGCAGGGTCCCTATCCAGTTGAGTCTACAGTACCTTTTACTAGGCCTTGAATTACGGCAGATGCATCAAGATTTCGGTGAATAACTGTTATCTCTGTTAAAACAGGGAAGAAAATAAACATGAGAGGTCAGAATATTAAGGTGACAAGGATCAGATCTTTATCTTACTTAATGTGCCAGAATACAAGACAATCCAATAAGTTCAATTAAATCAGTGTTACTAGAAAATCAAAACTATAGTTTACAAGTTAGTTGAACAATTATGAATGGGGATATAAGTTTCTATTAAAGTCACTAACCTTTTCTTTCAAATTATGTGTGTTCACATGTGTCTGTGTGTATGTATATGTATGTGCATGTGAGTGCAAGTGCTTGTGGAAGCTACACAAGGACGCTACGTTCCCACACTGGAGCTGTGGATGGTTGTGAGCTGCCTGGTGTAGTGCTAGGAACTAAGTAGGGATCTTTGCAAGAGCCGTGCATCTATTAATCCCTGAGCTCTCTGTAGCCCAACTGTTAATGTATACGGTGATCTCGGTGAGGAGAAATAGGAAGAGAAGGTAGGGAAGAACAGCAAACACCTTGGCTTCATCACACACTGCAGAATTCATTCCAGCGAAAAAGCTCCCAGCATTCGTGTGAATATGTCATTAGTTATGAAAGTGCGAAGGCCCACTTAAAACCCACCTTCCATTTTAAAAGATTCTGAAAATATAACTGGCACAGCAATAAACACATTTAGCTTTATGTTTTCATAAAAATAATTTTGAAAATGATAGATCTGGTGACATCTGAGGCTAGAAAGGAGTAAAGAAAAAAACATACATTAAATCTCTACTATTTTCAACTAGTTTTAGGTCCCTTTATTTCCCACTCAGAATCTGGTTAGTCAACTGTAACACCTCCTCACAATTTAGACTTACTGTTATCAGAGTGAGAAGTACAGAACAAATCTCCCGCAGGTGAGACAGAGATGTGCTCAATAGAAGATCCTAATCGAGGAAGAAATTCTTTGTTCTTCTCTGATCCGTCTCGCCACTCCACAAGCACACACTCCCGCCCACCACTCAGCAGACTGGTGCCTTTGCAGCCAAAGAAATAAAAAATGGCAGAGATTGAAGTAAAACAAAACAAAACCACACATATAAAAACAAGGCAAATATATTCAACACTTAAGCAATCTCTCTGGAACTTAACAAAAGTGCCTTCATATCATTTTAACTGGTTTTATTTATTATCTTTAAGTTTTAGTTTACTTTTAATTGACACAGCTGTACATACAGACAGGGTACAATATGATGTTTATATACATATATAGTGTAACACTCAAATCATGTAACTTGAACAACTACCACTTTTTTACCGCATTTATCTATTCCTTGTGATGAAACAATCAAAATTTTCTTTTATAGTTTCAAGTAATAACTATAGCTACCCCATTGTGCAACACAGGAAACCAAGCAAAGATGACCTACACATAAAATATTTGTCAATTACAAATCTGATAAGGGATTAATATTTATAAAATATAAAGAACTCAACTAATTCAAAAGCATGAATAATAAATTGAAGAATGAACAAAACAACCTTATTAGACATTTTCCAGAAGATACAAATAATCAACATGTATATGAAAAAATCCTCCACATTAGTAACTATTAGAGAAATCCATACAAATATCCAAAATGAGGCAGACTGTGACCAGGCATTCTTAGATACAGTCATTACAGAAACAATGTCTATATTGCACTTAGCAAGCTCACTCTGGTATACATCCAAGTGAAATGAAACCAGAATACTACAGCAAGTAACTTATTACCATCACACAACAAAACTCAGGCTCAATATTATCAACTAGGTATGATCAGCCCAGATAAAGGAAAGGACTATTTACAACACTCCAGTGTCAGCAGCTCTGGGAGGAGATGATAGGATTTAGTATTGTAAAGTTTATAGTGTATATTATTGTATGCTCATGATCATTCCTTGCCATGAGATGCCATGAGACGGGCAGAGACCACAATATAGAAAAGAATGAAGAAAAAGGGTAGATTAGATTAGGAGAGAACAAAGATACTACGTAAAACATACAAATAAATATACATACACCAGCATCCCAAAACCACACAGTTGTCTTTTTGGAGGTGAGTGAAAAGAGAGTAAAGAAGCTAAATAAACAGCCACAGTTTTTCATCTGTAGAGTTAAATCCTCTTCTTTCTGTTTTGTTTCAATCCTGAGGTCATAATAGAACTCTTGGAGACACTAGGCATCGTTCCCCAAATCCTAAGCTTCGTTAGGCTGATTTTACCTTCTACTTCCTATGCTCTGAAGAGCTAACCCTAAGTGAATCTGTAAGCACCCAGAGCATATTATGTCCTATTAAGTCTCCTGGAAGAAAGAGAGAAGGACAAATCACTTTCCTGCCTTCCTTCAAAGGCACATGATTGTCCCTAGCATGTTATCAGAATACAGACATAGCTTTCAGCACATGGGCCCAAGGGTGCTAAAAGTAAAAGGCACAATATACTATCTGTGTCTTTTAAAGAGAAAATTTCAAAGAGTTTTTTTTTTTTAAGTTCTTCCTGTGTCTGTTATACATCCAACAAGGTCTGAATTTGAATTTAAAATAGGGAATACGTAAGCAGGCAGTCTGTCAGTTAAGAACAAGAGCTTCTAAATTACATCAAGGTTGAACTTCTACTTAATAGCCAGTGGACTTTGTTAGTCACTACCTTAAACACTTCTCACCTCCTTCATCTGGGAAAGGAGAGTTAATGACACACACGTCACTGACCCAAAGACAGATGGCAGAAAGCCCTGGCAGTATTTGCATCCAATAAATGGCAGCAGCACTACCCACTATAACTATATAACTATAACTATATAACTATAACTATAAGTCATAAGACTTCTTCAAAACTGGGGTATACTGCACACAGGCTCTTCATGTCAGGAAAAGTGAGCACAGCTGTAGACACTGGAATCTTGCAAGGTAAATTACACCTTGTCATATCTGATCCATATCACTCTGGAAGGGGTCCAGAGCCTACTCTCCTTTCCTGTCAACACAAATGCAGAGACTTTCTTCCAAAATAACAAGTCCTTGGTCCAGTAACCGGAAATCATTAAACGGTTAGCTTAACCTCTCCCAGAGGAATTTTAATATAAATATAATTTTATATATTTATTTTGATAAATAAAACAATTCAAAGCAAATAAAGCAATCTAACAAATATTAACCAATGAGTCAGTATTTCTGCTGTCTCCTGTCCTGACCTTCATGAGATCCAGGCCTAAGTTTCTACTGTCTGAGATAGGGTAGGGGGCCTACCTCTGCCTTCGATCTAATTTTTTTACGATCAAATGCCTCAGTAATTTATTATCTATGTCTACTTACTGTATAAGCCTATTTCCAGGCTCTATTTTTGTCCTACCAGGCAAAGAAATCCCATGAGTAGATCAAGTAGATCTTTGGATCCCAAGAAATTGTCCTGGCAAGACTTTTTCAATTCGAGAAGAAAAGCATTTTTCATTCATTCTCCCTAACTTTTCTCTTCTATGGAGCTTGATGGTTTGTTTGTTTCTTTTGTTTTTTTATTAAATTTTTTTATTGAATATTTTCTTTATTTACATTTCAAATGTTATCCCCTTTTCTGCCCCAACCCCCGAAATTCCCTATTCCATCCACCCTCCCCCTGCTTCTATGAGAGTAATCCCCCACCCACTCACCCACTCTCGCCTCCCCGCCCTTGAATTCCCCTACAATGGAACATTGAACCTTCACAGAACCAAGGGGCTCTCCTTCCACTGATCTCCGACAAGGCCATCCTCTGCTACATACGCTGCTGGAGCCATGGGTCCCTCCATGTGTACTCTGGAAATAGGCTTATACAGTAAGTAGACATAGATAATAAAATATTGAGGCATTTGATCGTAAAAAAATTAGATCGAAGGCAGAGGTAGGCCCCCTACCCTATCTCAGACAGTAGAAACTTAGGCCTGGATCTCATGAAGGTCAGGACAGGAGACAGCAGAAATACTGACTCATTGGTTAATATTTGTTAGATTGCTTTATTTGCTTTGAATTGTTTTATTTATCAAAATAAATATATAAAATTATATTTATATTAAAATTCCTCTGGGAGAGGTTAAGCTAACCGTTTAATGATTTCCGGTTACTGGACCAAGGACTTGTTATTTTGGAAGAAAGTCTCTGCATTTGTGTTGACAGGAAAGGAGAGTAGGCTCTGGACCCTTTCCAGAGTGATATGGATCAGTTATGACAAGGGGAGACCCTCCAAAGAACTAGAAAAATTCAAGAGAATCAAACAGGACAGATAAAGAATCTCCATGCCATCCTTCACATGGCATGAATGACATTACAACTGGCTATTAATAACATTAACTCATAAAAAAAGACACCTGGTCTTTCACCTGTTCAAACAAGGAGCAGAATTTTATTATCCTTAACTGATCTGTACACTCTGCAGAAACCATAGGAAAATCTTAACAATACTAAAAGTTTGGTCCTGAGATCCACATTATTACAGAATATACAGCTTTGGCAAGATTCATCCCTCAGAGGTGCTGAACTGACTTGCTTGGCCCCTGCTTCTGGTTGCTCCCCAAAACAGCTTCGGGGATTCCCATAGATTCCAAGTCATCTCGCCTCATCCAACCAACCATTCAGATGGATCCCATCAGAACTTTAGTCAAGCCCCGAGCCTCCTAAGCATACAGAGTCTGGATAACTGATGCTAAAGCTAGCTTTCTTAGGTCTAACCAGTTTTTCTAATTTTCCTACCTCTCCCCACACCTTTAAAGAATTTTTCGTCACCCCTATTCAGCAGGAAGAAGTTATGGAGATTCGTCATCCTGATTCTTTGGGCTTGGATGTCTGGTTATGGTTATTTTACAAATTATAGATAGGTTGTCATATTAAGGGATAATTTGGAAATGGTCATAATTTTGAACAGGGAGGAATTAGATGGGATGGATTACTAAATTTTATCCTTGAACAAAGCATTGTGTAGCCATAATTTTAACTGGTAGAAATCTTTATAACTGATGTAAAATTAAAATTGTAATTTTCTACATTGGTAGAGAACTTATTTTAATACAGATTTAAGGTTTTCATTGGTATGAATCTGTATATTGATACAAAATTTGAGATTAATATTGTTACTCTTAGATAGGCATTTAAGATACAACTCATTTAAGAATACAAGGCTTAGACCCAGTCCTTCTAATAGCTGCTTTTAAAACTATTTAAGGTGATTAAGCAAAACAAGTTAAAGGACCAGATAGCAAATTCATGGTTATGTTAGATTCTGATTTAATTATAGGAAGGTGTTTTCAATATTCTTCAATCAGAAATAGCTAAGAGTAGTCAAGGTTTAACAGTTCAAGATACTGTACTTAGACAGTCTTCAAAAACATCAGAAATCCACAGAATGTGATACTTAATGTTATTTAATCTTTTGACAATGAGACACGTCTGCTCCAGAGAGTTTCCCCATTCTCTTACACACACACACACACACACATACACACACACACACACACACACAAAAAAAAATGGAGCATCTTTACCTCCAGGCAAGGTTGCTTACTGTGGCATATAGCCATATAGCCACAGGACAGAAACTGCCTATTTCAGCTGCAGTCAAAACATTGTCTGGGAAAAGGACACACTATGTGGAAGAGTCAACTGATAATGGAATAGTTAAGTGATAGCTCTGTCAAGACAGGGTAGACAGTTCTTTCTGCTTTTTGCAAAGGTCTGTCAGATGATCCTGGGCCAGAAGGCTGAAGACTGATGCTCCAACATTTTGAAGAATTAGGAGGCTGTCCAGGTAGTCAGCTGTCTCTACAACTGTTTAAATTTGAAAAGCTATGTTTGGTGTATCCTATATACTCAGGTAATGTTTTAAGTCGTTCTCAGATTTCTGGAGGGGTTAAAGACTTGTTATAGTTTTGTAGTCAAACTCAAGTTGTTTACAATTGAGAGAGAGGTTATAGAGTGAAAGACATGGCTTTCAGATGTTGTTACAAGCTAAATATAATCCAGGGATAGAATCATAATTCTTTAAGTTAGGAATGATGGTAGAGTACTTTTATCTAGTTGACAAATATGTTGGACCAGATGTTAATTGTATATCACACTTTTTAATTTACATGACTGTTATGGTTTTGTTCAATTTTTATCTGGGAGGGTTTTTTTTTTATTTTTTTATTTTTTTTTATTTTTTTGATAGAAAAGGTGAAATGTAGGGAAATGCTAAGGTCCTATTCCCAATTAGTCCTTGATCCATCAACAAAGATACCAGTGACCAATGACTGAGGATGGGGTAAGACACTTAAGAGTTGCATGGGAAGATGCAGGCAGGATTGAGAGAGCTGGAAGAGAGAAGGAAGAGTAGCTACAGGAGATGAAGCCATCCGCCATGTGAGTTTTGGTTTTGAGTGGCCAATGTCCACTCTATCCGATTATGCTAGGAATGCCAGGAGATGTTTAGGAGTGCTCAGTTATTGAGTTAGCAAAAGCGTTTTAAGAGTAACTTGTGTGTGTGTGTTGTTTTTCTATCTGTAGAATCAAGGGAATCTGGCTGGGGGCTGGTAATATCACCTGTTCCCGGAGCTTAGGTAGGGTAGCAAAAGCTACACGCAACAAAACAAGAGTGTTCATAACTTGACTTCTATAACTTGCTTTTTGTGACAGGGTCTCACTTCAAAGCTTAAGTAGGTCCTGAACTCATGATGATTCAGTCTCTTGTCTCAGCCTTCCAAACAATGGGATTATAGTTGTAAACTCCAACATTTGATTCAGATATTTCTAAACTTTCTTTTAATTATGAAAGAGGCACTTACCTGATACTGTAAAAGCCAAATCCATAACCATGTCGTGGTGCCAATGCAAACATGTATATGTGTACTTCTTATCATCATGAAAATTCCTCCTGTTGGAGAAAACAAAATGCTTTTTAAAATGTTTTTCCCCTCATGTAATATATCCTGATTACAGTTTCCCTTCCTACCTCCCCTACCATCCAGATCCACTCCCTTTCTGTCTGACTAGAAAACAAACAGGCTTCTGAGACAGTAATAAAATAAAATATAGTAAGATAAAACAGAAACTAAGACATCAGAATTAAACCAAACAAACAGAAAAGAGTCTCCCTGAGAGAAGTTATTTGATGAAGACATCCCATTTAGGCTTAGAAAACAAGCTCTTAACCTCAGGTGCCAAATAGAAAACAATGGTATGCTACATCCAATAAGCCACAGTCCCAAGTGTTCTGGTATCAATATTTAAAAACACTTTGTTCTCCGTAACCAGATGAACTTCTATAAGCAAAGTTATCATGGCACTCACTGTACCAGCACTAGATACTCAGCACTGTCTCAGTTTCCTGTTTCAGTTAAAAGGCTGAGAAAAAGGTTCTCTTCAATAAAATGGTTCCAGGTGACATGTAGTGCTTCTCTTTCTTCAGAAGCTTAAGGTTAGGAATCCTACACAGAAGTATGAGGGAAGAGCACAATGCCAGGAAGTGGAAGGTGGTAGCAGAGCCACCTTCTGCAGCAGTGATGGTCCATATTCGCTCTTTTTGGACCCAGAGATAGTGCTGCCCTGCAGGATGAGTGTGAAACAGTATACATGTGATCCCATGTTTTCTGGAGTTCACTGACCAAAGGCGGATTTTGCCGTCCATGTGACCAGATGCAATGCAATCTTCCTTTGGGTGGCAGGCTACACATGTGAACTTGTTGTTTGCATTCTTCTTGTTTTTTGTTGATGGTAAAGTAAAACTAGGAACAAGAAAAACAACTCTCCCTTGGTTATGAATCAAGTATTTGGTTTGGAAAACATTTACGAATGTACGGTATAAACTTCATGTGACCCATGTCTTATCACAAGACCTTGCCAATGCACTCTGCTAAGATTTAAGTAATTAAGACAGACCTTTTAGTACCTTTTGCTGTCCTGTGGTCAGAAAATTCCTCTCTGAACCAAAATTTTAATATTAAACTTATGGCCATGCTTAGTAACAGAAACAATTAACTTTATGTGTCCTAATGGGACAAATTCAGAAGGATAAATCCATTTGCTATGTCTAGGTTGGTTCATGTTCCACTTCTAAAGAAGTGAGGATCCTTGTAGACCATAAACAAAACGATGCTAATCTCAGAAGGGTAGCTTCGAAGATGACAGTGTCTAAGAGATTGATTATACAATTCTCAGCTCATCTCTCTAAATATGGCATGTTATTCATCCTTACAACTCAGTTAGATATCATCTCCATTTAAACCTATTAATTTGAAGTACATGATGGATGAAATGGACTAAATGTTTTAAGTCTATCATGGTGATTTTTGTCAACTTCACCCAAGCTAGGGTCACCTGGGAAGAAATCGTAGGGAGACAATGGCTCCAGATTGGCCTGTTGCCGAGGGTGGGGCATTTTTTTGACTGCAATTGATGTGGAAGGGCCTAACCCACTAGAGTGATGTTATTTCTGGGCAGTTAGCTGGGTCTGGAAGTTATACAAAAGCAGTTGAGTGAGGCGTAGACAGCAAGCCAAAAACAACACTCATGCCCTCTGCTTTATGTCCTCCCTTGAGTTCCTATTCTAACCTCCCTTTATGACAGATATGAAATTGAGGTATTAGCCAAATAAACCCTTTTCTCCCCAAGCTGATTTTAGTCATGGTATCTTAACACAGCAATAGAAAATAAACTGGAACAAAGGCCCAGTATCCTGATGCCTATATTGGTTGTTATAGTCAATGAGAATCACCAGGCCAAGCTTCTTCAATCTAAATGCAATTTTACACCAAGTACACAGTTGACTGTACTATATGTACAGGGTTTGGGGATAGAGAAGCCTCCCTAGCTAAGATGCTCCTACCCTATCATCATGTATTAAATACAACATGTAAACCTCTACAGGATGCTCCCACTTTTTGAAACAAGACCCTAGAAACGGGTTTGGACAACACTATATAACAAGTGCTCCAGTAAATACAGCAAAGCCAATAAAAGGGAATTCTTACTTGCATGTTTTTTTCTTTTTTAAAAAATAAACAGATAAGTAAAAGTCCCGAACTGCAGCAACATATTCTCCCTGGTGGTTTAAGCAGAAGGTAACATTAAAAAAAAAACAAAAACAAAAACTCAAGACTGTATTACTATAAAATGATTTGCTATACTTTGGCCATAGAAAAGATAATTCTACCTTTAGAATTAAGCCCTAAGTTCTACAAATGTATCTTTAAGTGTACCCATTTATATATTTCCCCATTAGGCATATATACAATACCATGCCATGTTTGACTGTATCTACATAACTGTTGCCAAACAGTTATTCAGGCCTAGAAACATTTCCTTCATCCCAAGAATGTGCCCTCTCCATTTAATCATTCCTCAATGCTCCAGCCACACCAGCAACTGTCATTTTTATCATCACAGCATATTTCAGTCTACCCACTGCAACTGCAGCTCAACACAGCCTTTTGAAATTTACCTATACCCTTAGGTGTATTGTTAATTTCTTATCATTGTTGAGCTGCATTCAGCTGAATAAATCCACCAAACTTCTGTTGTTTGGCTGGTTGACTCTGGGTTGTCAGCTTATTTCAGGACTATGGGAAACAGTCATTACTCCTACAGATACCATTTTGCTATCATGTTCTGTCTCTCCAGGCCCAGGGAATTTAACTTGGCTCCGTATCTTGACAGCATTAGTAATTCTGGTGGAGGTGAAGTGGATTCTAACTATGATTTTACCCACTGTGGTAATCAGTAAGACTGATCAGTAAGACTGAGTCTGACAGTGACACAGACGAAGCAATCCATCTTCTCTGAGGAACTAACCCTGCCCTGAAGAACGATACAATGACTGGAAAAACCCCAAGGCTAATGCAAGTGACTTTAAAATAATAAAGCATTATTATTAACATACAAATGTCACAAAGTATCTGTCAAAAACAGGTTAGTATGCATGTGTTCTGCAATATTGAGTAGAAAAGAGAAAAAAACCAACAATATTTCTGATTCTACTTCTTTTGGGAACTGTTGTCTTCAATGTGATCAAGAAAAAGTCTATAAAAGCCTTTAAATATTGTCACTGGTGAGACTGAAGATTTTCTTTCCTCATATTTTCTGTGATACTTGAATTTCCTTTGATGAGTAATTTTTACTATAGATACAGAGCTCATATTTTCTAAAGATATACAACAAAGCCTAAAATGGAACAACGTCAGTGTTTTATATGAAACAGGGAAAGAAAAAAGTATAAATCCCAGACATGTTATTTTGGGGAAAACTGTAAAAGAGCCAAGGACAGAGTACATGACATAAGGATAGTTCTAAAAACGTGCACACCATAGTCCAGAAATGCTTGCCAAGACAATGTCACAGCGTTTCAGTCACTAACAACGGGTACAAATGCACTGGATCATCAGTGTTGAGGGGAAAAATTTTCAGGGAATAGATTTCACATATAAACAGAAACCAACAGAACAAACGTACCTCATTCCCGAAGGCAATGCACTTGGGGGACCTGTTTATGTAATCCAAAACGAAGGTGAGCTCCTTAGCTTCCACATCCCGGCTTGTTGATTTGGGCAGTTTCACTGATACCAGCTGAAATATGTCTATCAGAGGAAGTCGTTTATTACAAAGTTTCTCTAAAGCATGTACACTTAGTCATTCAAAACAGTTTTGTAATTGGAGTTTGGGACATCCAAATGCCAAGACTGCAACAGGAGGACATTTTGAACACAATATACCACACGGGTGAAGGGAACCAAACGCAGGCCCTCTGGAAGAGCAGCAAGTTGCTCTTAAGTGCCGAGTCCCTGCTCCAGTCCCTGAACTCTTCATTTGACTGTAGTCTAAATCCATAACTCCTGGACACTCCTGGCTCTCTGTAGAAATAGAAAGCTTACACGGAGGGTTTTATGTTTCAAAGTGCTCAGCTGCAGTTTAAAGTGGGTTTGTGTGGGAACACACCTTTAATCCCAGCAGGGGCAGGGGCAGGCTTGGAGGCAGAGGCAGGAAGTACTCTGTGAGTTTGAAGTCAGTCTGGTCTACACAGTGAGCTCTAGGACAGGCAAAACTATAAAGATTTGTCGCAAAAAGCCCAATAAATAAAAATAAAATGGGACTAAAAAATGAATTGAATTGGTGAATTAAGCAACCAAAAGAACAAAGCCACGTGAGAGCTTTCTGAAATGTGTGGCTAGAGAGATCATTTATTAGTGCTTCCATGAACTCATGAAAACCCGAGTTTGTTCCTTTTGTAATTGGAGTGCTCTTCAATTTCAACAGCCAGCACAACAGGTATCCAGACAGGACGATCCCTGGGACTTGGGGGCAGCTAGTTTAGCTCAATCACCAAGCTATAGGTGAAGAGAGAGACCATGTCTCAAACATTAAGTGGAGAGACAAAGGAAGACATGTGGAGTCGACTGCTTGGGTCTATGTATATTGTATGTACTTACATGTATTTAAGTTAGCTATGGCTTGTTATATACAACATCGACAGATGAGCATAAAACAGGCACACAAATCAAAGGTTACTGATATTCAACCATAAGTGATTCTAAAGCAACTCTTTGGTGTATATATAGTTATTCCATTTAGTAAAAATGAAAGCAATTCTCATACTAAAGATTTGCATGTGGTTGTATATTTTTACATTAAGGATTAAATCTTGGGCAGTCCAGCTGACTGACTATAGTCACTATATTAAAGCTTCTTTGAACTTTTAATCCTAATACAACTGCATCTCATGGGGAGTAGTGCTCTTGAATCCCAGCATTAAAAATTTTCTTTGGGTAACTTCATGTTGGTATCCTATTACTATCAAATTCTAAGCTGGAAAAAAATCTATCTGTAATTACTGACAATGTTGTAGACATTCCTGGAATGCTGATATGTGATAATTCTACGCTAGTAAACATAATAACAATTCAGCCTCACTACCAGTTCTTTATATCAATTTATATCTATATTATTTGGTATAAATCACGATCAACAAATAAAAGGACGGTGATGCTTACTATTAAGGGCTGGAGAGGTGGCTCAGCCAAAGGTTAGGCTCCCAATGAAAAATATAAGAATAACATACTGAAATTCAGCAGAAAGACGACTTCTTCTTGCCTGGCTTTAACACTGAACTCTGAGTCCACTATAAACACGCCGCCCCCCCCCCCCCATCATTAAACACTTAAGATGTCAGAACTAAATGCTTCACCCAAGGATAATGGTAGCAATTTACATGCCAACTCAAAAACTGCTAGTTTGAGGTTAAAACTAGTGTTGAGACCCTTATAATTTTGAGAAACTGTACAGATCTATTTGATGTCCCACAAAAACAAGTCAAGTGCACTGTACTGTACCTGGCTCTTCTTTACTTATTGTAAGGAAGGCGGAATCTTCGGCATGGGGAGGAATAAAGAGGGCATGGAGTTTAGGTCCAACAGTGAAAGTCTGAAAGAGATAACGAGTCACTCCATGCAGTATCCAGTTCCTCCAGCGGAACACAGAACTCATGGGATACTTTAAGGTTTTCTTACTGATGTTTTCCTACCTCAAGAAAGTACCTGTCTATAGAGGCCATATACACTATTTGATGACTTATTTTTCATATACCTTCATGGCTTTTCGATGATTGCATAGTTTATGGAACAGCAGGTTATATAGATTTTTTCCCACTATAATTTAAGGACTACATAACAAGATATTTCCATGATATAACTTAAATATAACAAAATATTTCAAAGATGTAAATTCTTACAGAAAGAAGTACTGTAATTTTTGTTTTCCTCTCATTGACTGCACATATAAAAATCTGTCTAAACTGTACTCAGTATTGCACTCAATGTGCATTTTAGCAAGGAGGAAATCACTCCATTTGTTTAAATTTATGCTACTAAAATTAATAGGATGAAGCACCTCATCATGGTAACATGGTAACTGGTATTTCGTTTTCTGTCATGTCAATTCCTAGCTTACTTTAGACTTCCCCCTCCTCCCTGAAAGCGCTGGGACAGCAGCCAGGGCTGCATGCAGACACTCCACCACTGAGCCCCACTGCCAGTGCCTGTACTCTCTTATCTCCCATCTGCTCTGCCTGACTCGGTATTTCTTATTGGCGTGTAAAATACTTTCTCCTTTTTATGGTAGAATCTTGAAATTTTTATATAGTCCAAATTATGCATTTAAAAAAAATAATGTTACATTTCTTGTTCAGGAAGTATCTTAAAAATTAGGCTTTACAAAAGAGAACTAAAGAGCAATATGCATACCTTTATCAAAATGCCATCAAGATAGTCCCACAGCTTAATTGTGCCATCAAAGGAACAGGAATAGAGCTAAAGGGTAAAACAGTACAAGACAGATTAAACACCACTCCAATGACACCAAATGAACAATGGAAGGCAGAAAGGACTGGGTCGTTTGTTATACACTGTCTCATCATTGGGGTTGAAGAGGTAGTAAAATTCATAAAAGTTGAGTATCTCTATTTAAAATTTAAGTGCAAAGCTTTGTGAGCCCCAACATGATACTCAAAAAGTATCAGATTCAGAATGCACAGTAAAACAAATATTCCCCCAAATATGAAACACTTTCTGCCCAAAGTATTTGAAATAAAGGAAACCAAGCAGTGGTTTTTGCAAAATCATCTCATTAAAACAATCTAACAATTGCAGCTTTTAAACAGAAACGAAGGAGGTGGGAATCAACATTCTACTCTGCAGTGATGTGGCATGGAGCTGAGTGACGAGCGCTCAAGAATTTGCTCTCGTTTTCCGAAAGCCCAGTTCTTTGGTGTCACTGCATTTGTCTTCCCTAAGCATCAAAAAAGTTCCTGAAATGATGAGAACGCTCCTCTGTTTAACTCAATCCATTGAGGACCAATACTTTAAAAAACATAGTAGGAATTCTTGCACACTGAGACTCTGTGGCAACTCCAGTGCTGTCAAGTTCCAGGACTCTCAGTCCTTACTGTATATCACTCCAGATGGCTTGACAATGTGAGAACTTTAGTCTGTGGGCCATTCTTGGTGAGCACAGATCTTAATAACACATAGGATCATATCTGTTAAATATGCTTAGCTTTACTAGGGTTTCACAGATTTGTTATGAGAAAATATCTTGTTTATAAGGTTTATAAATAATCTTAATTTGATAAAAGGACCATTTTGACATTTTTTGTGAACTGAGTCATGAGTTCCCGGTTTAAAAATAAAAACTATTTGAGTAAAACAATATTATATTCTCAAGCAAAATAATTATCTTAGGTAGAAAATAAAGCCAGATATTTTATCGAAGAATCACACACATGGATTAACAAAACAGTTAAAAATATAAGCACTGTTAAAATGGAGAACTCTCAGGTTCACACAATTTTCATCCTGCAACCTCATCTCAACCTGCTGATAAGACTGCTCTTGTCTGTGTGGCCCCTGATAGGTGGAACGTGCATCAACAGATCGTATAGACGGCACTAACTGGGAGGGAGGGAGGGAGAGAGGGAGAGAGAGAGAGAGAGAGAGAGAGAGAGAATACAGTTGGGTGTATCTGGAAAGGAGGGTGGATCTTGGGGAGAGGGGTGCATATGATCATAAGGTATAAAATTCTCAAAAAATTAATATTTTAAAAATACTTTTGACTTTAAGAAAAAACTTATACAATGTGTATATATAGTTTTTTGTCTACCAACAAAGGTCAGTAACATATACTTAATAAATCTGATTTTAACTAAAGAACACTTTTTTTTCATTAAAAGCCTGCGAAGGATACATATGTAATAAGGAATAAAAAATATAACTGGATCATACAGAAGAGTTATTTGACTCTGATTTTTAAGAGCAGATCCTGGAGAACTTTAGAGAGAAAACACAAGTGTTATTTTATGTCCTGTCTTTTACAGCACAGTCATGGGTGGCAATGTAAATCTTCTCAAAACCAAGCAATGGGCTCCATGTTGCTATGACTAACGCAGAAATAGAAACTTGTTAAAACTTATAGCAAGAGCAAAATATTGAAATAAATTTAATTTTTTAAAAATTGGAACTTAAGGGCACATGTTTAGATAGTCACAATAATCAAGAATCCATTTAACTGCACCTATATTTCAGAATCCCATGTAGATAAAAACATCTTTATCAAGTACCAGGTTTTGGCATCAAGCAGGTGAAATGGTTCACAGAATATCCTATGGGCAGTGTAGTTCTAGACTGTGGTCCTCTTTCCACTCTCAGAAAACTGAAAAAATACCCTGAATAGGAGAATTTATAGATTACTCTATGGTCATAATCTGTAAAGTACCCACTGCAAATTTAACCTAATTAAACATTCTGTTAACAGTAAAAGCAACACAAGCATGTTCAGTTACAAACTAGCACCTGCAGATGGTTGTTGGGGTTGATGAGGATTCCAGACACCAGATGTTTGTGCCCATGCAGAATGTGTACACACTCTTCTGTGGCTGTGCTGTAGACCTTAACAAAGTCTCCTGAGACACAGAAGATATACCTAGAAGAAAGAGAGAAATCTAAGTCTCACATATTATACAGATAATATATAATAACAGGCAAATACCTTTCAAAATAGTTTGAGAATTGTACATTCAAGTGTATGTGTTATCAACCCTATGAGGATATGAGATGAAGAGACTATGAGATGATACAGCATTAGTCTGCAAACAACCCAATTCTCCCTTGCTAATTGGAGACATCAGCTCACAAGTGCTGAGTAAAAGGCTCTGCTCTCACTGGTGAGGTCCAGGTACTCCTGCATATGTATCCGCCTTCGTCCTCTTTCTAACTGTTGAATACTAATTTTGTTTATATTGTCTTACAGTTGTGGCTTTTTCCCACACACCAGATGCTTCTTCATTATCCAAAGTGGTTACATTCATAATAGAACTTACCATAAGAAAAGTTCAGAAAAGAAATTTGCTCTTTGCCAATTATATTTCACACTTTTCTCACTGTGGAAGCCTCAAATCATTGAGAACCCAGTCAGACTATTCTCTGTGCTGTCAAACAACCCACACATGACTTTATCCTAAGTAGAAATATGATGCTGACTAGGGTTGCTACAGCCTGCTTTATTAAATCTATGATACTGGGTTGCTTATTTGTGCACATCTTTGAGGCCAGAATGTGGTTTATAATTGACGGTATGTTTAAGATATATTGGCCAACAGGTGGCTCTATGTATAATAAACTCAAGAAAGCAATCACCACAAAGCACCTATAGTGTTTGTATTCTTCATGGCTAGGCCCATGATCCTGAGTACTTTAGTTAAGAGGCTAAAATCTGTAGCCTGGACCATTCTCCTAAGAGTTCTTAGCTTTAATGAGTGGTTGACAGTTAGGTTTTATATTCACATTAAGTAAACTCTACAAAACTTGTCCTTAACTCTCCTCAAATAAAGATACAAAGAAACAAAAAACAAACAAACAAAAAAAACCTCAAAAGCCCACCAAAGGTTTTTTGACTAAACAACAAAAATCAAACTCAAACTGGATAACCTCCCTTCCTAACCTATTCTCCACATCACATACCACTGCTAACCATACAATCTGTTCAATACAAACACATTTCTCTAAGTTGGGCCTGATGACACAGGCCTGTAACTCTATCCACTTAGGAAGCCGAGGCAGGAGCAGCACAGCTTCCTGGAGTACATAGCAAGTTCAAAATCAACCTGAGCAACTCAGGGAGACCCCTCCCAAATGAAAATAAACAAAAGAGTGGGTGCCCACATTTGGGTGGAGCAGGTGCTAGGAAGCAGATCTCAGTGGAAGAGTACTTGTCTAGTATGTGCATGGTCCTAGGTCCCATCTCCACAACACTAAGTGAAAACAGAAAACAAAGCAAACCAAGCCATTATTCTTTTGGATACAATTGTGTACCTATAAGGGAAGCTCTCCATTCATAGAACAACCAATAGACAACCTTCTCCAATGTGGGTGTTTAAATGAGAATGAAATGGTCCCCATAGGCTCAGATGTTTGAAAGCTTGGTCCCCAAGTGGAGGAATGATTCCTGAAGCATTAGGAGGCAGGCCCTTGTTGGAGGAAGTGTGCCACTGGGGGCTTGAAGGTTTCAAAAGCCTAATCCATTCTCAGCTCTCTCTGCTCCAGCACCATGCCTGCCTGCCACACCCCCACCTCCCCTGCCTCCAGCATGATGGAGGTCACCTTTTCTAACCTCTGCAACTGTGAGCCCCAAATTAAACATTTTATTTTATAAGTTTCTTTGGTCCTACTATTTTCTAATGGCAATAGAAAAGTATATAATACCAGATAGTAGCCCTTTGCAATCTTCATCTTTCTCACTATAAAGTAACAAAATCTTTAAAAGCACCTAGGGCTTCAAACATCTACTACTGAATTCCTATTCTTCACCGCACAGTGAGTTTCTTGTCTTGGTTTTGTCAGCTCAGGTAGTTACAGATCAAACAGTTGACCAAAGCTATTAGAAAGAAATCCTATCAGACTCGGCAAATGAAATGGTCCAAACACTTTATTTAATAGACATGCTGAGGCACAGTTCAATGGAGGATGAAAATGAATATAAGGATGAATTTGAAGGGGCAGAACTGTGACAACTCCTTTATGCCCATTTTATCCCTTTAATTCATAAAACAATGTCAACAAAATCCCCTATACTGGTAAGACTTACCTTTCCAAAAATCCCTTGACTTCTATGTGTTGAGAGTTCCTTTCATCATGCATGCACTGAACAACTACCACAGACCTACAGGCAGGGTACTGAGGGAGAGTACACTCTCCATAAATACTAACTTTACCTTTCTAAAACAGAAAGAGGTTTTTACTAAGTATCTCTACATTCAGAGTGCTTTGGAAAAACCACCCCTGCTACACACGTCTTCTAGATGATACAACGTAGCAGCAACAATGCCAGAGAACTGAGAGCCACTGTTGTAAAACTTGTGTTCAAAGACAGATTTTCTACTACAGATCTAACATCGGTTTTTATGTAAAGTTCAAAAAAAAAAAAAAAAGGAAGGAAGGAAGGAAGGAAGGAAGGAAGGAGGGAAGAAAAAAAGGCTGCTAATAATGATGGTTTTCTCCGGAAAAAGGCTGAATCATTAATGGTTTAGAAATCCAAAACATTCCATACAAAGAGCATGAACATTCATCTGCAAGGGCAGAACGGTGTACATACAGGACCATTTTCCAACCGAGAGGCTCCTACACTCTTCTAGACACATGACCTGGCCCTGTACCCCCTCAATCTTCCCGCAGGTAGAGTCTGGGGAGCCAAGGCACACAGATGCAGCAACAAAGCCGGGCGGCCCCGGGCGCTCCGGGTCCGGACACGCGCCGGGCCGCGCCGCGCCGCGGAGTCCAGCCGGACGTTGAGCCGCGCAGCGCCGAGCCCGACAAACCCCTCCCCGGCCTACAGTACCGGGAGCCCTGTTGGCCCGCAGCCTACTGCATACTTGGAATCCACAGAGAACACCGCTCTCCTGAAATTCAGCCGGCTACCGCCGCAGCGAACCACGCGGACTCTCTCTTCTACCATCTCCACGCAGACGCAGGAACCACCGAGCACCGGCCGGATTACGAACTTCCTTCATAGGCCGACAGGCGAGAGTTTATTTCTCCGCCCGCCGTCCGCCTGGACTTCTCTAGCTCGGAGACTCTATGGTTAGGCGCCAGGCCTAAGCCGCCATCTTTAGTTTGGGCAATGTCAAATTAAAACGCTTGTTAAAAAAAGTGAAGCCAAGGCCGGGCGGTGGTGGCGCTCGCCTTTAATCCCAGCACTTGGGAGGCAGAGGCAGGCGGATTTCTGAGTTCCAGGCCAGCCTGGTCTACAGAGTGAGTTCCGGGACAGCCAGGGCTACACAGAGAAACCCTGTCTCGAAAAACACCAAAAAAAAAAAAAAAAAAAGTGAAGCCAAACAGCCACTCACAAAATTAAGTCACATGCCGCTACTAAACCGACTCTAAAGGTTCAGCCAGAAGAGGAAGTGCACATCATTTCCCCTACTGAAGACCTTGCCTTTTCTGTCACTGTGATTGGGCGACAGCAAGATGACGCAATCACCCTACTCCGATTTGCCCTTCTGGGGGAGGGGGAGAGGTTCAAAGAGCCTCTCCTTGCAGTAGTAACTAGAGTGGGGTGCCTTAGAGCTTTGCTTTTCTTCCTTCCTTCCTTTCTTCCTTTCTTTTTTTTTTTTGGTAGCCGTTTTTAATAAATAAATGATTTTATTAATTTGAGAATTTTATACATGTACTGAATATATTTCGATTATATTAAACCCTTATTCATCCTAGATCTACCTCCTCATCCTTTACCCACTCCCAACTTCTGTCTTTTCTTTTTCTTTTTTTTTTTTTACGTCTTACATTTTTTTTAAAAATTGATATGTTTTTTTCATTTTCAAAGTTTTCCCCCTTCCCCCCTCCCCCCCTCCCATGAAAACCCTATCCCCTCCCCCCTCCCCCTGCTCCTATGAGGGTGTTCCTCCACCCACCCGCCCACTCCCCGCCTTGGTGCTCTCGCATTTCCCTACACTGGGGCATCAGACTTCATAGGACCAAGGGCCTCTCCTCCCATTGATACCTGACAAGGCCATCCTCTGCTACATATGTGGCTGGAGCCATGGGTCCCTCCATGTGTACTCCTTGGTTGGTGGTTTAGTCTCTGGCAGCTCTGTGAGTGAAGGGGATCTGGTTAGTTGATATTGTTGTTCTTCCTGTGGAGTTGCAAACCCGTTCAACAACTTGAGTTCTTTCTCTAACCCCTCCATTGGGGACCCACCCTGTGCTCAGTCCCGTGGTTGGCTGAGAGCACCCCCTTTGTATTTGACAGGCTCTGGTAGAGCCTCTCAGGAGACAGCTAAATCAGGCTCCTATCAGTATGCACTTCTTGGCATGGACAATAGTGTCTGTGTTTGGTGACTGTATATGGGATGGATCCCCAGGTGGGACAGTCTCTGGATGGCCTTTCCTTCAGTCTCTGCTCCACACTTTGTCTCCGTATTTTCTCCCGTGAGTATTTTGTTCCCCCTTCTAAGAAGGAACAAAGCACCCACACATTGGTCTTCTTTTTTCTTGAGCTTCATATTATCTGTGACTTGTATCTTGGGTACTCCAAGATTTTGGGCTAATATCCACTTATAAGTGAGTGTACACCATATGTGTTCTTTTGTGAGTAGGTTACCTCAGTCAGAATGATATTTTCTAGTTCCATCCATTTGCCTGAGAATTTCATGAAGTCATTCTTTTTAATAGCTGAGTAGTACTCCATTGTGTAAATGTATCACAATTTTCTATATCCATTCCTCTGTTGAAGGACATCTGGGTTCTTTCCAGCTTTTGGCTGCTATGAACATAGTGGAGCATATGTCCTTGTTATATGTTGGAGCATCTTCTGGGTATATGCCCAGGAGTGGTATAGCTGGGTCTTCAGGTAATACTATGTCAAGTTTTCTTAGGAACTGCCAGACTGATTTCCAGAATAGTTGTACCAGCTTGCAATCCCACCAACAATGGAGGAGCGTTCCTCTTTCTCCACATCCTCGCCAGTATCTACTGTCACCTGAGCTTTTGATCTTAGCCATTCTGACTGGTGTGAGGTGGAATCTCAGGGTTGTTTTCATTTGCATTTCCCTGATGACTAAGGAGGTTGAACTTTTCTTTAGGTACTTCTTGGCCATTCGAGATTCCTCAGTTGAGAATTCTTTGTTTAGCTCTGTGCCCCATTTTTATAGGGTTATTTGATTCTCTGGAGTCTAACTTCTTGTGTTCTTTGTATATATTAGATAATAGCCCTCTATCAGATGTAGGATTGGTAAAGATCTTTCCCCAGTCTGTTGGTTGTCGTTTTGTCCTATTGACAGTGTCCATGGCTTACATAAGCTTTGCAGTTTTATGAGGTTCCATTTGTCTATTGTTGATCTTAGAGCATAAGTCTTTGGTGTTCTGTTCAGGAAATTTTCCCCTGCACCCATGTGTTTGAGGCTTTTCCCCACTTTCTCTTCTATTAGTTTCAGTGTATCTAGTTTTATGTGGAGGTCCTTGATCCACTTGGACTTGAGCTTTGTACTGGAGATAAGAATGGATCAATTTTCATTCTTCTACTTGGTGATCTCCAGTCGAACCAGCGCCATTTGTTGAAAATTCTGTCTTTTTTCCCACTGGGTGGTTTTAGCTCCTTTGTCAAAGATCAAGTGACCATAGGTGTGTGAGTTCATTTCTGGGTCTTCAATTCTATTCCATTGATCTTCCTGCCTGTCTCTGTACCAATACCATGTAGTTTTTTTTATCACTATTGCTCTGTAGTACAGATTGAAGTCAGGGATGGTGATTCCCCCAGAAACTTTTATTGTTGAGAATAGTTTTCGATATCCTGGGTTTTTTGTTATTCCAAATGAATTTGCAAATTGCTCTCTCTAACTCTATGAAGAATTGAGTTGGGATTTTGATTGGGGATTGCATTGAATCTGTAGATTGCTTTTGGCAAGATGGCCATTTTTACTATATTAATCTTGCCAATCCATGAGCATGAAAGATCTATCTTTTGAGATCTTCGATTTCTTTCTTCAGAGACTTGAAGTTCTTGTCATACAGATCTTTCACTTGCTTGGTTAGATTCACACCAAGGTATTTTATATTATTTGTGACTATTGTGAAGGGTGTCATTTCCATAATTTCTTTCTCAGCCTGTTTATCCTTTGAATAGAGAAAGGCTACTGATTTGTTTGGGTTAATTTTATATTCAACTACTTTGCTGAAGTTGTTTATCAGGTTTAGGAGTTCTCTGGTGGACTCTGTGGGGTCACTTAAGTATACTATCATCATCTGCAAATAGTGAAATGTTGACTTCTTCCTTTCCTATTTGTATCCCTTTGACCTCCTTGTGTTGTCTAACTGCTCTGGCTAGGACTTCCAGTACTATAGTGAATAGGTAGGGAGAGATTGGGCCGCCTTGTCTGGTGCCTGATTTTAGCGGAATTGCTTCAAGTTTCTCTCCATTTAGTTTGATGTTGGCTACTAGTTTGCTGTGTATTGCTTTTACTATGTTTAGGTATGGGGCTTGAATTCCTGATCTTTCTGAGACTTTTACCACGAAGGGGTGTTGAATTTTGTGAGATGATCATGTGATTTTTTTTCTTTGAGTCTGTTTATATAGTGGATTACATTGATGGATTTCCGTATATTGAGCCATCCCTGCATTCCTGGGATAAAGCCTACTTGATCATGATGGATGATTATTTGGCTGTGTTCTTAGATTCGGTTTGTGAGAATTTTAGTGAGTATCTTTCATCAATATTCATAAGCGAAATTGGTCTGAAGTTCTCTTTCTTTGTTTTGTTTTTGTGTGGCTAAAGTATAAGCAAAATTTTGGCTTCATAGAACAAATTGGGTAGTATTCCTTCTGTTTCTGTTTTGTGGGATAGTTTGAAGGGAATTGGTATTAGGTCTTCTTTGAAGGTCTGATAGAATTCTGCACTAAAACCATCTGGTCCTGGGCTCCTTTTGGTGGGGAGACTTTTAATGATTGCTGTTATTTCCTCAGGGTTTATGAGACTGTTTAGATGATTTATCTGATCCTCATTTAACTTTGGCACTTGGTATCTCTCTAGAAAATTATTTCATCCAGATTATCCAGTTTTGTTGAGTATAAGCTTTTGTAGTAGCACCTGATGATTTTTGTTTTAATTTCTTCAGTTTTTGTTGTTATCCCTCTTTTTTCATTCCCAATTTTGTTAATTTGGATATTGGCTCTATGCCCTCTGGTTAGTATGGGTAAAGATTTGTTTATCCTGTTCATTTTCTCAAAGAACCAGCTCCTGGTTTTGTTGATTCTTTGTATAGTTCCTTTTGTTTTTACTTCCTTGATTTCAGCCCTGAGTTTGATTATTTCCTTGCCTTCTACTTCTCTTGGGTGTATTTGCTTTCTTTTCTTCTAGAGCTTTCAGGTGTGCTGTCAAGCTGCTAGTGAATGCTCCCTCCTGTTTCTTTTTGGAGGCACTCAGAGCGATGAGTTTTCTTCCTAGGTCTGCTTTTATTGTGTCCCATAAGTTTGTGTATGTTGTGCCTTCATTTTTATTAAATTCTAAAAAGTCTTTAATTTCTTTCTTTATTTCTTCCCTGACCAAATTATCATTGAGTAGGGTGTTGTTCAGCTTCCATGTTCCATTGTGTTTTTTAGTTTTTGTTTTTGTTTGCTATTGAAGACTAGCCTTACTCCATGGTGATCTGATAGGATGCATGGGATTATACTGTTAAGGCTTGTTTTGTCTGATAATATGGTTAATTTTGTAGAAGGTACCATGAGATGCTGAGAAGAAGATATTTTCTTTTGTTTTTGGATGAAATGTTCTATAGATATCTGTTAAACCCATTTGGTTCATAACTTCTATTAGTTTCACTGTGTTTCTGTTTAGTTTCTGTTTCCATGATCTGTCCATTGCTGAGAGTGGGGTGTTGAAGTCTCCCACTATTACTGTGTGAGGTGCAATGTGAGCTTTGAGCTTTAGTAAAGTTTCTTTTATGAATGTGGGTGCATTTGGAGCATAGGGGTTCAGAATT